TGTTAAAATATTTAACATGTTGTTAAAATAATAAAAAGAATTTGGTAGCTTAGAATTAATCATGTGATTTTTTTCTGATAGAAAAATTTCATTGTTGAAAATATGTTTGAAAGGAAAGATGTTCTTTTCCTTGTTCCTATTTTGCTGTTTGTTTCTTTGAAATAGCTACTATCCACTGACTTCAGCGTGCCCATCTGTCATCTCCAGCATTTGGTATATTGTTTCCAAAGCTAGTTGTGATTTAACATGGTATCTAAATAGGGCAAGTAATGAAGGATACTGCTTAAATCCCTCTGAGAGAATCTGCAGGACATCTGTGATCATTTGCACAATTTGGTTAGTCATAACCCTGGGAAGAGAATGTGGAATCTCTTAAGATGTTAATTGTAGTGTGCAGTAGCTCTGTTTTCAAGTGCGTTCTAAAAGAAAACTGGCACCTTGGAATTGTCGCAAATGCTGTGGAAATCAGTACATTCACATTAAAGAAGACCTGCAAGATTATTTTTTTCCCTTTTAAAGGAGAAGCTCATTTTTCAATAGAATTTGACCAGATGTTTGTGAACTGTGATGCTTTAAACCATCTACAGATTTTATCTAGTTCTTGTTGAATGTCCAAAACTGATTAATGTTTTTTAAAAGGAACAAAAACCAAAACAGCAGCAACAACAAAACCCCCAAATGAGTATTTTTTGAGTACTGCAGCAATAGATGGTATTTTCATTTAAGGGGAGGATGGAATTTTGTAGCGCAGGGAATCTCTTTGAGCTGACAGAAAGACACTTTAAAGCGCTTGCCATTTCTGTGATTTCTGCAAGTCTGAATTTGGCATGTGACTATCTGCAGCTTTCATATGTAAAGGTGTAAAAAAAAAAAGTAACACTTTATGAACTAGGGGACACTTCTTTTGTGTGCACATGGTTCTAAAATAAATAGTCTACCACAGAAGTTGGCGCCTTGACGCATCTGAGCATAGTCTGCTCTGTAAATGACATACGTATTTAGAAAGTTGGCTGACAAAATAGCATGTCTAGGAATTTCTGTGCAATGTGAAAAACAAGATTCTGACAGACGTTTTATATTTTTAGGGAGACTAAAGCTTCAGGTTAAAACCCACAAAATCATGCATGTTGGAGAGTAGATGCAGAAAATACTTTCCAAGTGGAAGCTTTTAAATTAATTGGACAAAAAGCAGCAATCATCGTAAAAAGAGGTATTTAGGAATGAAATCAGACACCTCCCCCCCCCCGAACAACAACCCCAACTCAACCAACCTAAACCCAATTGCTGTCAGCAGAGCACAAATAGCAGCTTATTAGTATGTCAGCATATTTTTAGTTGCATCATTGTCCAGAGACTTTTCTGTAAGAAGTTCCTTGCACATCTCCGTCGTAAATGATGATATTTTTGTTGCTGTTCCTTATATATGGAGCCATTGAGTCGTGCCATATATATGCATTCTATGATTCAAATGATGGAGAGCAGTCAGCATCATGGAGCATGTGCTGCTTTCTGTTTTGAAAGATATGAGTCTGATAATTTTTAAAGATGTGTATATTGGCCGTGTTCATCTTTTCCTGTCATTTATAATTCATTTAAAATGCCTTTTTCATAAAATTTAGGTTTTAGAAGTTAAAAGCATAGAAAGGTGGTGTATGCCATGGCTTCAAATCTATGCTTATACACACCATTTGGATTGATTGTCTATTGTTTTTATTATCTGTTTTGGTTCTAATTCTACCTTCATCTTTTTTCTCTGTAGTTCTTAAAGAGACGTTATTTTTGTTTCTGAGGTATAATGAAAGAAAAACCACTTTTCTGTGTTACGAAAACCCCTGTAATTTCTTTGTCTTTGAAATCTTCCCCTCTGACAATGCCTCACAACTACATGATCAACCTGAAGAAGTCAATACCATTCCTGTTGGCAGGTTGCAGTGTAGGGCAATTCATCATTTCCCTGAAAACTTCTTAAATTCAGCCAGCCTCCTGAAATTCAATCTCATTCCCCGTGTTCTTCCTGATTATGAATCTGATTTCAGGGGAGGAGATGTTGTTGTTCCCTTTCACTGTGCAGAGTAACTGCTAACCTCTGGAATAAAACACAGTGGAGGGAACGGCTAAGGCATTCTGTGAGTCTGAGAACAAAGTTTCAAAATGGGACGTGAGTACCTTCCTGTCAAATTAATAAAGCTCCGGGCTGGAGGTAGATTTTACGCTTTCCTGAAGTATGGGATTTTGGAGTGATGAGGTGATAAAAATACTGCAAAACGTAGTAAATACTTTGCCTGCCTTCATTGTGTGTTAATGTGTGAATATTCCTAATAAGCTCTTGTGTAATCCCCTGCTATTCCATTATTTTTTTTTTAACGCATATTGGGGATCTTGGGCATTTGCAGTGAAGCTTACAGGAGACGTAGCAATAAGCAAAAACTTCCCTTTGCATTGACAGAATGACAAACTGGGAGGGCGTTTTGGGAGGAGGGGAGAGAATGATGTGGTCCCTTACGGCAGCGAGTGGAAAAACTTCACTTCCAACCACTAATTTCTTCTATCCAAGTGTATCAGAGGGCTTTCTAAGTGTTGACCTTAGCCCTTGCTGCTAAAAGCCTTGTGCTATTCTATGATATAATAAGAAACTGAGGCAGGGAAATTAAGTGATTGCATCACCATCTCCTTTACAGTCTCGGCCTAATTCAAAACAAAGCTGAGACCTTCCAACTCACAGCTCTGTGTGCTGCCAAGGCAACGAAAACATTTGACAGTTTTGATCCCTCCCTTTTTGTTGTAATATAATCTCAAGGTATGCATATGCAAAGGATATACCTTCACACAAAACTGTTACGCTTCCAGAGTTCTTTCTGCAGAACTGCCCCCTCCTTGCAGAGTCACTGTAGGGGTAGGTATGAGGTTGTATCCATTCACTCATCACTTGCTACCTTTGTCCTCTCCATGAGTAGCTCTTCTTTTTACCAAGATAGAGTAACTCGTTGCCTTTTCTCAGATATCTCCATTGGCTACTGGTTGTTGTTCAGACTTTTGATGGTTTGGTTTGCAGATAAGCATTTGTAAGCACCATCCCTGCCTGACCACAGTGTAGCTTTCTAGTCCTTCTCCTCCTGCCCCAACGTACTTTGCTATTCAAAAACACCGCGACCAACAAAATTCAGGACTGTATTTTGTAGTCCTCCTTCATGGTTGCATACACATGTGTACTTACATACTTACATCCTTTACAGTGCTCCTTGGAGTGTTGTACTATTTGAAAGACACCCAACTTTAGTGGAACAAACCAAGAAAATTGAAGCATTTGCTTTTGATGCTTGTTGTAGACTGTCCGTGTGTATAAATGAGTAGTTTTAGTGCCACAAAGTGATGCTTTCTGAGTGTGCTCAGGCTTTGTGTAACACGAGGGGTGCTTATTCCTCTCAACTAAGAAACGCAAAGAGAATTTGCAGAGAAATGCTGGGTTAATGTTTCCCATCATTGTTGCATGCAGTTCTTGTTAGCACTAATAGAATTTATGAACTCTTAGCAAGAGGGTAACAGAACACTTAAGTGCATTTTTTTGTCTTCGAAATTCAGAGAAACTATTCATAAAGACTGTAATGCATAGAAATTTATTTCAGGAGAACAGAAAAGTCTGCAACCACCTTTTTTGAACAGCAGGCAGCAGAAATCAGTGTTGGCTCTCAGACTTTGTCCTTTTGATTTTTTTCATGCATTAGATAAGCTTGCTGTCTTTGACTGCAAATGTATTATTTTTTTAAATAAAAAAAGTAGGTTCAGGTTTCTCGTGTACGACACAAGTATGCTTAGTATGTTCTTGAATGTTTTTTGAGGCATTCAGTACATAGAGCACATGTGGTAGTGGTGGATTAGTTAAGCTTTTCTCTGGCACAATGCTGCCACTAGCAGTTTTTTTGTGGTATTACATGTGTTTTTAGTCAAAGGCTTCAAGAAGTGCATTTAATGGAAAGATTTTGATGTTGTTTATTAAGCAGTAAGGGTGGAAACTGCTGTAACAACTAGGCTGATGTGAACAGGAGAGATGATAAGAACTTTCTGGTCCAGTAACCTGTGATTTAATTTTTGAATGTAAATGTTTTAAGAGCAGTCTTAGAAGGGTCTAGAGAACTGTAGTCAAGAAAAAACAAACGGTGCTTGCAGTTGCCTCATTCCAAAAGAATGTTAATTTCCCCTAGGCCTTCCTCTGTTTCTTCAAGTGTTTTGGAGTAGTAGGAAGAATTGACTACCAAGGGTTTCAAAGATAAACTGAAGCAGAGGGTCTGTAATAACTTGATCTAAAAATTCTTTTTGAAGTGGTGTTTATGCTTCAGCTTCCTTCTAAGAAGGAACAAACTGGTAGCTGGATTCTCAAATGAAAAAGGAGCGCTTGAGGAAGATGGTTTTGCGTAAGTTTTGCTGTTGGTTTTGTGAGGTACGTGAGCCTATAACTGTTGGGGTTGAAGTGCGGCATCCTATTCCTTTGTGTAAAGGAGTGTAATAACTTCTACGATTACGTCTGAATCCATCTGTCCTTGGGGAAAAAAAAATCTGGTATCTCTTGGTTACAACAGTTAAGAATGGTTGCATTGAATTATGTTGCTATTGGTATTCTTTTTTCCGTGTTTGGCCGCAAATACTTTTTGTTTGTAGGAATTAGCAGACTAAGATCATGCTGCATGAGGCCTAAAATTCCAGTCCTTTTCTGATCCCTGCCTCTTCTTTTCTTGGGTTAGTTTTTTGTGAGTGAATAGATTAGTATTTGCCGGTCAGATATATAGAGAAACAACTGCATGATGATGCAGTAGGTTCTCATTGCCTTTGTCTAGTTTGCAAGTCAATCGTTGCCCTTGTTTCATTGTCACAGAAATATGTTTTCCTCCCTTTTGGGTCTTACCTCAGGTTTTCTTCAGTGTGAAAACAAATTTTATACTTTAGAAGATTGTGTCAGATGTGGTCTGATTTCCTTTTTAGTAATGCCTTTAGACCTTCTTTTTCAGAGTAAACGGGACCACCTCCTTATGAATGTCAAATGGTACTATCGCCAGTCTGAAGTCCCAGATTCAGTCTATCAGCATTTGGTTCAGGACAGACACAATGAGAATGGTAAGTTAGGCTCTGTAGAGTAAGGCCTTCTTTACTTGTACTCTGAATTTTAAGTTTTAACAGTCCAGAATGCTTTTGTACAGGGATATGAAGCAAGGACTGTTGATAAAAACAATATATTAGAAGATGGATGATAGTGTTTCTTACCTGCCTTGTTTGTTCTAACTAGTGTATGTCCTGTAACCATAGCTATAATCAGATGCATTTCAGGTATGGTTTAAATACTGTGCTGTATTATACTAATGCCTTAAGAGAGTAGAAAAGAAAAATAACATTGGATCCTTTGTAGGCCTTCTGGACAGCGTACTAATCTAACTGGCTGAAGACCAAGTTGTCTGAAGAAATTGTGAATCTCTTCTATTTTTTGTGATTCTGCCATAGTGTCATGAGAACTACATTTTTGCATTCACACTACCTTGCATGTATGAATACTCACTGTGATTAATATTGCAGTAAGTGATGTAACTGAAGCACTTGTAGCTGAGTTCCCCCTTTTCTCTTTGCAAAAACAAGTGTGATCTTGGGTTTAATAGAAGCAGAAGAAACTTTAGTACATATTCCAGTGTCGTTTATCTCTTGCCTCTAGGGGAGGCATAACATTTGCTTCTATTCTTACCAGGAAATTTCCTTGAGGGAACTGTTAAAATTCTGAAGATACTCCAAGGTGAATTGTGATGATAAAAGTTCATGTTTGAAATATGGAACACAGCAACTTTTTGGTGCGTGACAGTATAAAGTTGGGCATACATTCTCCTTTTTGCAGGCATTGAGGACACTTTCCATGTGCTTTTAGCAAAAGCTGCGCAAATCTAACATTTACTAATTTATTTGAAACTTCTAACAATGGGATTATAGGCACAGTGTCAAAAAGTGAGCATTTTTGATAACATGGCTGCTTTTTTATGTCACACTCTTGTGGATGTGGAGAAGTATTTTTGTCTGTTTTCAAAGGTGTTATAAAGAAGTCATGGAAAAAGTAGTCTTCCAGTTTTTTGTTAACCCTGAGAATATTCTGTATTTGAACGTGAATATCAATATTTATCTCAAAGCCAGAGCACTAAGCAGTTAGTACTGTCAAGGTTTTGTTGAAGAATATGCAAACAACCAAAACCTTAACCCGGAAACCAAAAGTCAGTGATCAATTAATTTGCCTAGTTCCTTTCACCTAGGAGTGACCACTTCTAGTGGTCAGTGGATAAGATGTGTCATTTCAGTACCCCTAAAATCTGTTTCCCTTCAGCAGTTCTTTAGGTATGGCAAGGGAGAATTCACGTGCAAAAATGGGTATCATGTTATTTCCATACCTTACAGGCCATGTAAACAATCTGAATGTTTGTCATCTTAACACTGAGGAGCGTGTATCTAAGAAACATCCTCAAACTTTGACCTGTAAAAAAAAATACCTGCAAAATGGCAATGGTAGATGCTTTCAGACTACAGCTAATGTGTTGGTGGTTTTTTTGTTTGTGTTTTTGCTTTCTGGCAGACTCTGGACGAGAGCTTGTTATTACAGACCCAGTTATCAAGAATCGAGAGCTCTTCATTTCAGATTATGTTGACACTTACCATGCTGCTGCCCTCAGGTAAGTTACAGAGGATGTGGGGCCGTGTCTCAGAGGTGGATGAGAAAAACCTTATTGAGAAAGGTGCTTTTTCTGATTTTGCGGGGGGGATCATTAGCATACTGCTAATCATAACTCATAGCATATATAGCTCATATGCTCGTAGCATACTGTTCAGCTTTCTCCTCGTCTCCTACAGTAATTAACTTGTGTTATCTGTTCTCATTCAAAAAGAAGCTGTAATTCTACAATCTCGTTTTAATCTCAGTTAATCAATGTTTGCTCAGAAGACATTGTTTCCCATCATTGCCAGTTTAGGTTACTGCTAGTTCCCGAAGAAATACTTCCCTCCTCTGTGTTTGATTTCACTATTAACGATAGCGTCTCCTAGTAAAGTGACTGTTAGTATGTTGCCCTGATTAAATTGCGTTAAAGGTTTTTGCTCTGGGCACTTGTCATTGTTGCAGCTCAGCTAAGAGCTCCATTAAAAACTGGCTGTACAGACAGGAGGTAATGGACCCCTGTGTTGTTTTCTGTACTATCTGCCCTTCCCTGGAGGTTGCTGCTCTCTTTACCCGCTAAGTTTTTAACTTAAGTGGCCAACCTTTGACTAGGCTGAGGGGATACACCGTTACTTAAAAACGTTTTCAAAGAGAAATAGCAAGGCATTATTTTTCAGCAGATTTTCAACATGCCAAACATGCATGGATATTGTCAAAATGCAAATTGAATAATCTCCCTGATAATAATGCTCAGATGGTGTTTCACTAGAACCATCTGGAGACATTTTTTGTTCAGAGTCACTTTGCTGAAGCCACTTACTTCAAGAAAAACTAGCTGCAACTTCTGTTATAAGGGTGGGAAGAAGTCTTTGATTTACGTTAGACTTTTTTATAAACTCTGAAAATTCCAGTGGTGTACTATAATCTCATGAAATTCCACAATGCCTTTTCTGAGTTGCAGAAGGTCGCCTTCCAATTTTAAATCAGCATGCTTAGAAACAAGCTAGCGGGAGGTTGGTTGTCTTGATGGAACCAATCTTGGAAATCTGTCTGCTTAAACAGAGAAAAACTGAACTATGTTTATGGAATTTTCCCTGGGAGTATTTTAACTTCTCTTCTACATCCTTTCTGTTTTTTTCTTTAAAGAAAAGATAAAAATGGAATATATGTGTATACCAAGCAAACTTGAAAAATATCATTCTCTTCTCCCCTTCCAAAAAGAGTGGAGGCTGCTTGAAAGACCAAACTGATCACTTTCTCAACCTGTCTTGTGTTTCATCTGCCTTCTTTTTGTTTGGAAGTGCATACCATGGGCACCTTTTGGATCACTCTCTTGTTTCTCTTTGTTGGCATATGGTTTCGCTGTTGTTTTGTTGTGTTCTGGACTGTTTATACTTTAGATACCATCTACAAGCCTGTAAGAATTATCAAAAGATGCTGATAATTGAGATAATATACTTTTGCAGGATAAAGATATTTTTGCTGATTCTTTTCTAGCAAATTGTGATTAATACACGTCAGTAATTTTCAGTGTACAAGACAAACATAAGGGTAATTGCACATGATGTTCTTACAGTTTGAGAACATAGAGTAGGCAGAATGTGTTGTGATGCATGAAGGGAGGGTTAACATGAAATTCTAATTTATTATAATATGAGGTTACTTCTCTGCCCTCTGCAGGCAAATGGCTCTGGTCACACAATGAGTTGACAAACTGGGAAATAAAACTGATTGTAACTACCAATCTTCTGCTCTAACCAGTGGAAAAATTTAACTAGAGGATACTTGTAGATCCCTGTGGAAGTGTGTAATAAAAGTTAGTCCTTTTTACCTATATGGTAAATCTTTGTGGTAATACATAGTACTACTTGTCTGAAATGCTATGAACAATATGTACTGCTTTCATGAATATAGATAATACAAGCTTATCTGGAAAATTCCTATTGACTGTCAGATGAATTATTGAGAGGAAACTAAATATTTTCCCCAAAATACTTCTGAATTGTGAATTTAATGTGAAATATCAAAACAAATACCCCTTCTCGTTTTCTTTCTTTGTAAGGGACTAAACTAGGAAACTAGCTTCAGCCACCAGGGATAAAATAAGTACCAGTGAACAAGTTTGTCTTTCAGTATTTCTGTGTGATCTCTCAATTACGGACCTTGTTAATGTTCCATTACAACCTGGCATGACCTGTGCAAAATCCAGTGTTGCTTTGTCCTTTGCCAGAAAGGCAATTGACTGAGAATTAGGCAATCATAGGGACAATTATGCAGCCTCAGCTCGCAGGATAGCTGTATTGATTTTGTCTTAGAACAGTCTGCAACTTTATTCATCCTTCATCCTTCTGGTGTGTTTTTTCCTCACCTGTAGTAGTTGATCTTGTGTATCGGAGAGCTCATGTTAGAAGGCATCGTTCTTAGTGGCTGTTGATTGGTAAGCTTTTTTGAAGTGCTTTACCATGAAAAGATTAGGAAGGGAAGCAAGCTTAGCATTTCAACTTTCTAGTGCGGTTGTTTCAAGTAGGCAGTGCTTTTAAGCTCTGCTGAGAAGACTAGGCAAACAGTTGCAGTGTTATTACAGGCAAAATAATTATTCATCTTGGTGTACTGGTGGCAATAGCACTTTTCATTCAGTTTTAACCAAGATGGGCAAACCTTTTTACAATGTTAAATAAGCCCCATAGCAGCTTATTTATAATAGCAAATACTATTCAGTAAATACAAGCGAAAAGAGATGCTATCTGTATTAGTACTAGAAAGCTTGACATACTGAAAAAGCGCAAAATCTTGTGCTTTGCTTATTGCATTGAATCAGGTTTAGATAAAAAGCGCTAACTCTTTGGCTGTCTGGCCCACTTGTCTCTGCCCGCTTCTGATCTGATTTACTTGGTGGCAGTAAACTGCAATGCATCGAATGACAAAACATGAGCAGCTGTTGAACATTAACAGTCCAACAAACCCTTGAGGAAACGAGATGCAACTTCTTACAGTGAGTCTTAATGCTCATCCTTAAGGATAATGACTTTATCACCAAACTATATTAAAAAAAATTATTAACAATCTGTTGCAGAACAAGCTAATAAATCCTCTTTTCTCTTTTTTCTTTTTTTTTTAAATGTCTTTGTGTTTTACTCTTTTATGTATGAAAGTAGAAGGAAGAAACTTTTGTGTGTTTGGAATTTGCATTGTTAGGATTGCAGTCTTGCTAAAAACAGTGTAGCTTTGCTTTTTATTTGGAAGTGTTATTAAACTGAAGCTTTATTTAGCTTTCTAAATAAAAAGCTGACTTCCCAAATAATATGAATAGTAGAAGTTTTGAAGCTTCCTTAAAGATGTAAGTGTAATAGGACTTCAAAAACTTTGAAAAAGAAGACATTTTCAGGATTGTATTTCTAGGGTAGATATTGTTCCTTAGTCTGATTAAATTTGGGCTCCTCAGGACTGTGTGCTGGCTGAATGAGAATTAATGAATGTTTGTAGGACACCATCTGAGACATTGTAACTGAATTTTCTTCCCTTTCCACCATGGGAAGAATCTGCATGGTTATTTGTTACAACAGGCTTATATTGATGAAGTTTTAGATATTTATGAGAACACAAGGATTTCTGTGGCTTATACACAGATTGCAGTGGCACTTAATTAAAATAGTTGTTATTCAAGGTAGAATTCTAATACCGTTTTCCCTCTTTCTTTCAGAGGGAAGTGTAATATCTCCCATTTCTCTGACATATTTGCTGCTAGAGAGTTTAAAGCCCGAGTGGATTCATTTTTCTACATACTGGGCTATAATCCAGAGACAAGGTAAGTGAAGTGACTTTTAAAGGCAAGCTTTACCACTGATCTGAGCCTGTAGCAACAGGAAAACTACTCAAGGGAAGAAATGTTAAAACCAAGTATGATGCTGATAGGAAGGTGGAGTGGAAGAAAATGCGAGGGAGAAGCTACCTCTGCCTGCTGAGTGTATGTATAGGAGGAAAATTAACAGTAGATAACAAAATTGTGCAGTGAGTCATGATAGCCGGTTGCATCTCTGGGTAAATAACATACTGCTTCAAAACAGGTTTTTAGAACTGTGAAATTTTTTTTAAAGGTTGCAAACATTAGCAGGAATTATTAGCTGTCTCATTGGCTAATTGCACACCCCTGAAAATACTTTAAAAAATACATTCATGTCTTCTAGTAAGGAACGTTGAAATTCATACACTTTTAAGAAATCAAATAGAAAGTTTTTAAGTGTGGGAATTCATGCTTTCATGTGTAAACATTCATATGGGTCCCATATCAACAATTCCTAGTTTAGGCTTCACTGGCCTGGAGCGAATTAGAGATACAGAAAGAACTTTTTTGGGGAATTAATACATATTTGAAGAAGGCATGTTCAGCATGCTCTTTCATTTCACAGTTCTTTCAATCTGCCTGGGAGTTGTCCAACCCATCTTTGTCAGCTGTGTTTGGAAAGCAAAGCTGGTACTGGACTGTACCTTTGTTATTTTTCAGGTCCAAACCCTAACTCTTATTTTTTCATTTATGTAGTTTTGTAAACACAGAGAATGCCTTACAAATACCAGCCTTAAAGAGTTTGTTGTCTAGGGGTGTATTTCTTTGAGCGCTTGAGTAAAAGAATAATGCGTGACAGGGCTCAGCAAGGTCTGTGCTGACTGAAAGTTATTGTTTCTTTCAATGCAGAAAACATAATTAGCTTGTGGACCTTGATTTCTAGATATTGTTGAGAAAAGTATTATTTTAAGTGGGGATTAGATAGGCATATAAATAATTAAATATTTGAATTGTTACATTGTAGATTTACTGTTTTTAATGCAGATATGAATCTTTGTGCTTCAGGGCACAGCCAACCACTAACTGCTTGCAGTTAGGAAGAAACTCCCTGTGTGGGCCTATTACTATGTAATCGCCCATTTATGAGGCTTCCTGTACCTTACCCTGAAGTGTCTCAAACTGTCCGTATGTCTGGGACAGGGTATTGGACTAGGTAAACTCCCTTAATCGATTCAGTTTACATTCATACATGGTGGTGTCAGTGTAAGTCCCTAGGAGGCAATCTTGCTAGTGTATGGTGCTGAGCTCTGGGAAAAGGGCGTTAAATCCTATAATATTTTAAAATACAATATGTTAAAATGTTTTTGTAACATCATTTGTGTATTTTTTTTGAGCAGTCCGACAAGGCGAGGCATTTATGAAGTTTGTCATGATACACCTCTCCGATATTCAGCATCATGCTTGACCCCTATATTTAACTTTGTCACTTTTCGTCAATGCAATTTTGAGGGTGTGAATGCTAAATGAACTATTTGTATCAGTGTTCAAGTTCTGTGTTTAATGGATTATTTCTCTTATGAAATGCCATTTATGTGAGTTGTCATTGTAGTTTTAAACCGACTTTCTGTGTAGAAGTAGCTGTTAATTCTTCCAGCTATTGGAAAATGACTGAGCCTGAAAAGATCAATGAAATGCCAAAGCATAGCACTTAGTGATCAGCTAATTATTCAGACTAGCCAGCTCTCAAAATGCAGGTTTTTCTTCATTTGGTTGCAGCCAGGTTTTTTTTTTTAATTCTAGTTCTTCAGATCTGTGTTTTGTCTTAGAATGGGGGGAGGTTTAGAAAAAGGAGCTGAGTCTAGGTTGCTTGATTATTTTTGACCTGTGTGTTTGCTACTGCTTTGCAATGCATGCTTCTTTGAATACCTAATTCTAGATTCATAGAATTGTAAATAATTGTAACGTTCCAGGATGACCTGTTGGTGGTCTGTCTATAAAAACAAAACTTTGTCTTGAACTTGATGTCCTTTTCCAGTGTAGTGTTTTGTTTCTCGTTGAAAGGGTGGCATATGTTCATGGTAGCTTGAAGTAATAGTATGTTGTAGATAAGGTTCTGAAATCTGCAATGTGACCCCCTCAATTGACTTGTGGAAATGTGTGATAGGATACGTTCTTAGACCAAACATGCTTGAGCTGTGGATTGCATCCACAAAGATACACTTCTGTTTGAGTGATTTTGTGTTCAGCATAAGATGTTCGTATAGTTTTCCAGGACTCTGAAATGCGGCTCAGTGTGTTGGGAATCTGACTATTTTCTACAGTTTCATGTGTTCTATTTGCAAAACAACCTGCAAAAATCCCAGACCCGCAAAAACATCCAAAACACTGGTGTGGTGGATGTGTAATAAGAGGCCCTTTTGTTCTTGGAGCACACAGTGCTAAAGGAAAGTATGCTTTGTCCTTTCTTTTCTATTTGAAAGCTTGCTGACTATAGGTCTAGCTTGGGAAATACCAACCGTGATCCTGTTGTTGATCATTCTGTGGTCTGGAAGTGGTAAACCTGTGCATTTTGGGATAACTTTTTTCTTTACAGTATATATCAAGCTGTTGGTTGTTTTTTTCTACAGAGTTTGGTAAAAGATCACGCGCTATGTTTCAGTAATTCTCACATCAGTGAGAAAAATCTGATTGTGGAATAAAAACCTAAACTAATATTAAAGCTTAGAGGCTGGCTGTTAGCACCTTGAATAGAGTGTTAATCAAGCTAGTAAGTAGACCTGAAATATGTTCCTGGCTCTCAAGTGTGTGGAATACATCCACTAAGCTTGTATAGCCAGCTGAGAAAGAAAATTCATTTTATGCTAAGTACTTTAAAATAATTAATTTCATGTCTTTTCAGAGAAGGAGCTGCCCTGACACTGACTAATTCCACTGTCATGGAATCCCACTCAATTTTGGGCTCCCCAAATGGCCAGATGAGACCAATGCTTTATTGAAGAAGAAATGTTAGGTGCATTGTATATGCCCTGAAATTGGTTTAGAAGCATTTCAAAGTGTATAGAGTAGCAGTCAAGAAGGATTAATGGACAAACAGAGCTGGTGTACCACTTCAGAAAATCAGTAACTGCACCAGCTTGAGTTAAGCTGTTGATTTTGGTATTTGAGTCAGAAATCAGCTCTGCCTGTTAAAAAGAAATCTGCAGCAAGGCTTGGGAATGCTGTTGAACATGCCGCTTGACCTCAGACAGCTGTTTTTCACCAGCTCACATCTTACCACTTGTTTCCTACAACTCTAGTTCTTATCCTATCTGTAGTATAGTGCCAGATGTAGCTGATTCTGGCAAGAACTTCTTCCAGTCCTTCCTCTTGTACTCTGACATCCTGTATGGGCTCATAGAAACAACACTGAACTATCTTACTCGAGGCTGCAGGCATGCCAAATGCCACTATTGTTATTGGCCTGTTTTTGTAGTGTACTGGCTTGTACTAGGCAATCAGTTCTTTGATCTCAGGAGTAAATAAATACATTATGAAGTTTTGTCTGACATGGATTTAAATGCTACTGAATTTTTACTTGGAATTATGAGTAATCAGATATTATTCTACAAACAGTTTTCATGGCCATGAATCAGAATTACTCTTCAACAACATTGTTTTGCATTGTAGAACAAAATAACTCCAAACAGTCAAGGCACAGGTGAATTTTCTGAATAGATGTTTTGGGAAGGCCAGGATCTTCTCTGTGTTTTTATTCCACAACATTTGCTTTTTCTTCATTTTTAATCTTTTTCTTCTGAAGTGCTCTTGTTTGGTAATATCATGAGCTAAATGAGTATTGGTGTGTCTCTGAGAGGAGTGTTCCCAAGAGTGAAATTGAAGGTGACTTGCTAGTTCTTTTTCTTGTCCTTCATGGCTTCCTATTTTGTGTTGTCTAGAAGGGTATTTCTGTTGAAAGTCTGAATCATGAGCCTCTTCCCCCCCTCCCCGCCCCCGCAGTGGAAAGCATAGTGGGTGCAATACAAGTTTCAGGTCTAGAAACAGATAAGGGTAGTATAAAGATATATTCTTAAGAAGTCAAGAAGCCAGTGTGGAGTTGTGTGTAAGTAGGATTTTCAAAGCTTCCTCTTAATGTTGCCCCTCTTTAGAAAAAATTGTAGTTGAATGATAGATTAACATCTACAGCCAAAATGCAAACAGAGGCCGAAGAGGACCGCAGAGCTCTGTTTTGCTGGTTTGATCCTTTTGCCTGGTTAATTTTTAGCAGTCAGAATATTTTGATTATATGCATATAATAGTGCCTAGGGCAGTGATAGAGGGTGAAATGATCATAAAGGTTTTTAAATGCATCCATCCTTATGTCTCAAACCAGAGCCTTAAAATGAGTTGTTATTGTGCTTACACTTAGTAGAACACTATGACACTTTGTGGCTTACTTTGTTTAAATAAGACAATTCCTACAGCGTATTGCAAGTCCAATTTTTTTTTTAAATAGGTTTAGCAATTTTAAATACAACCAGGAATCCTCCTGATCAGGGAAATTGGGGATTGTTTGTATGATATGCCCATGTGATGTGAAACAGATGGCTTCTGTATGTCTTACTAAATTACAGGGAAGTTGTTTTGTCTCACTCTTGTCTAATATTCCTGGGAAGGAATTATGGAAGATGCTGAGCACCCTCACTTCATGTCACTAGGTATTGTCATGCATTGAAGTGCCTTGCAGTTGATTCCTTTTAAACAAGCAGACCAAAAAAACCCTCCCCAAAACTGTATTTAGACAAGTGGATGTATAACTTCCTTGGGTTGTTCTTTCTAGCTGATATCACACTTATTAATATAATTTGGACTACATTATTTCTGTGTGCCCAGATCTCAATTTATCTCTGAACTGGAGGGTAGCATAAAAGCTGAGAACTTTTTCTCAAGTTCATGTTGTGAACTTGAGGGGAAAAAACCCAGTCCAGAACAACAGCAACAAAAAATCCGGAAATACATTTCAGCTGTAGTTGAAATGAAGACTGGAT